GGATGCGCCTACGCAACGTGTCAATAGCAATATTGCGTCTCGTTTAGGCACCGGAAGCGGAATCTTGAAGCATACAAGGGACAAAGTACGGTACAGACGACGCAACGAGGCGCACCGCGCAGATGACCACGATATTCGCGATCCATGGTATCATCCCGCGTCTGTCCGCCAGATTCCCTCGAATCATACACTGCTTGCCAGGAACTAGTCGGGCCACTGGGTCCTCCGCCTTTCTGTCAGCGCTTCCGAGCTATAGAGTGTGATGGCGACAAACTGTCACGCACCGCTCAAAGCCCAACGCCAGGCAACGCCAGGGGACAGACTACCGTCTCTGACCGCCTCGTTCAACAGCCGCCTGGCGCCTTTCGCGCTGCAAAGACGCAAAATTTGAGTCGCTGAAGTCCGGCAGAACCACGGATGCTAGCCTTTCGCTTCGGCAAGGTACAAAGGTACAACACTTTTTGTGGATCTGGTCGAGTCCCCTTGCATCGGCGCTCGCCCACGCTGCTAGCTTGCAGCGACTATCCGCGTCAACCAATTACTTGGGCATGGCACTGTCAGCTTCGCCAGGCGGCCGACGCCATGCTCGTCTGCTTATGGCTGTCTTCTCCCAGGCGCGCAACTTGCCTTGAGGGACTGGCCAAACGCGCCGGCGCGTCCATGGCATAGCCAGCCATCATGGTCCCGATCTATCTGATAACACGTGAAACGGCAGCGGGCGTTGGTAGGTGTTTCGTCATCAATATCCAGCGTGCTCAGGTCCCGGCCATAACGCACGACCTAGAGCAAATAGTCAGGTTCTTGACCCATCGCTGCAAGCATGTGCCATGACCGTTGTTAGCAACCGGAAACAGGCAGTGCTGCCCAGTGCCCCGCCGCACAATATGATGCCATGTCCTGCAGCCAGGCCGATTGCTTGACGGCAGATGCGCTCATCAGGGCTTGCAGACGTACTGTGGTCTGACAGGCGGACGAGCATGCTCTGGGGCTCAGCTGCACCTCTTCATCATGTCTGGGTCGGCGGGCCAAGCATCGCTAATTCCAAGGATCTGCAGGCAAGATGTGCCTTCGTCGCAAGGTGGATCGGACTCTAACCCCAGCCTTCTGCCAGGCCGTCCGTCCAGGGCGCACGACAAAGCCGCTAAGATCCCGTCCTGTGCCTTACCAACCCCTCCTCGTGCATTTGCGACGCAATCGTGAGTTCGTTCTAATCCCGCTCTCCTGCATCGACACCTGCTCCTCTGCCTTCATACCCGGGTCTTGCACAGTCTAGCTGCATCGCCACAAGAGCCGCATCCTGCCGCTCCTACTCGAGCCCTTGTGCGCATCGAGTCTTGCGTCAAAGAGGGGCCAATCTCCCCGCCACCTGAGGCATCCCATCCCGCGCCTTATCATACACCCAGCCCAAAGTCCGAGTATCCGTGGTTGCTCAACCCTCACCACTGGTACACCTTTGGGCGACACCAACTTGACGATTTTACGACGCAACGATCGAATTTAACACGACCTCGTAGATTTTGTTTGACCTTGCTCGCTGGGCGCTGACTCCGGATGTTGTTGCAACGCCGCCCTCTATTCGTCATCATATCGTTTCAGCCTTCCCACATCCGCTCCAGGAAGGGACCACCCGCAGTATCATACTGATTGCGCCGCTCGAGGCAACCCGCCTGGGACCTGCGCCTGCATTAACTCTCCAGTCTTACATCACCGGCGCTACCAAAGCGAGCTCCCTCGTGCAGGTTGTAAGCTATACGCGCTCGTCTCCGTAGACCTGCGCGGCTCATTCAGCACGACACGGAACAAGAGGTGGCTATCGTTAGACTGCTGGTCACCACCTCTTCCAACATGTCTACTTTCCAAGCAGTCAACACCACATTGTCGGTCCCAGATGCGCCACAGGGCCGCCCGGGTGACGAGACGACGCCGACTACTCCTCGACCGAACAGCAGGTTCTTTGCCGAATCGAAAGCGACCGAAGAGATCCGTGCCGAAGACCCATCGGCTAAGACACCTACACGCAATACCTTTGCGGGTCTTGTTGGCCAGCGACCACTGCCCTCGTCGCCGTTTACCCCCGGCCGCGAGCTGAGCGAGACACCTTCAGCTTCGAATAAGAGCGAACAAAGTAGAGAGGACTCGCATAGGCCAACAACCTCGGGACAAGATGTGCATATGGGTGATGGGGATGATGACGAGAAAGACGGATCGGACAACGATAGCGTAACCAGCGATTCCAACCGGCCGTCTAAAAAGAAGAAAGGACAACGCTTCTTTTGTACCGACTTTCCGCCGTGCAATCTAAGCTTCACGAGAAGTGAGCATCTGGCACGACACATTCGGTACGTAGTTCACTATGCGGCACGCTACATTGCTAACACACTGCAGTAAGCATACTGGTGAAAGACCCTTCCAATGTCACTGTTCCCGGCGATTCTCGCGACTCGACAACCTCCGACAACATGCCCAAACAGTTCACGTCAACGAAGACATACCTTCAGAATCGCTAGCTGCAACGGGTACGAGGTTCCAAAGGCAGATCCGGACCGACAGAGTAAGACCACCTGGAAACCGATCTCGAGCGAACACACTAGGCAGCACAGGTGGCCATAGCAGAGGCCACAGCAGAAACCTCTCAGCTTCAAGCATAATCTCTACCGCTTCGACCATGAGCGCGGCACCTTCTCCCGACATTCGACGTAGGCCACCACCTTTGGCCATGGCTAGTGATGGTGGTGCTAGCGCGAGGGCTCGCCTGTCACTAAATACCATGAACGCGTATGACCCACCGATGATGGGCTCTCCTGGGCCTGTCGAGTATGACACGCAGTCCAACGCGCCTACAACGCCCACATCCGCTACCTTCTCGACAGTTACTGGCAGCCCCGCTCGCTACGGGTCCACTATACAGTCTCCGGTTTCGTCTTCGTCCAGACCAGTCTCATGGGCCGGACCACCCCTTCCAGGACGTCGAGAGTCCATCTCGTCCAGTGGTAACCCTTTCTCTGGTCCACCAGGACAGGGTCCTTCTACGTACATCACACCTCTGCAGTCAACTGCCGCACCCAGCTATTCAGCCCAAAGCAGCGCATATGCGAGCCCAACAGCATCTCAATTCTCAGAGGCGAGGAGAGATTCAAACGCAGATGCGGACTGGAGGCGACGTACGTGGCATCCAGGAACTTGGGGGCATACTGGGCCTCGCCCAGCGACCAGTGGGCTTGGTTATCACCAGACGCCAGACGCGGATCGGCCCACGTTTACTTCAATTCCGGCCGCTTCTCAAACTACCCGTCTTCCGGGAATTGAAAGCTTCGACCATGCACCCCCTCCGCTTCCTCGACGCCAGCCAAGTCCAATGCAAGTAGACGCCCCAGCTCGTCCACTGACATATCACGCGCCGATGGAGCACCCGCCTCCGCCTCATAGGGGTCACCACAAAAGAACTAGTATTTCTTGGGAAATTGACCGTCTGAACATTGCTGGCCCAAGTTCTCAGAGAGAACCACAATGGTCGCAACCATACCCTGGCAGTGCCGGACGAGCGAATGCTACACGCCCTACGACCGCTCATGGGTACTTTAGTCGGCAACCTTCTAACGTTCAGCCAATCCAGATCCCTTCCATCAACGCTTCGCCCAGGACTTCGCAAGAACAGCCTACGACGCCCCGAAAGAACAAGCGACAGGCGTGGTATAACGGACCTGTCAGTCAACCACAAAGAGCTATGCAGAGAACATCCCCTGAAGATAGTAGCAGTAGTGAAGGCGTTCCCACTCCAGGGACGATTTGGGAACATCATCCGAACATCGTGGGCAGCAATGGATACGTCGAAACGCCAGTCGTCGAAGATTACAAGTCGCAAGCATCAATTATGGAAAGGCCGCATCCATTACAATCACAACCACACCATTATCATAGCCACAGCCTCTCCAACTCGAGCTCAAGCTATCGACCGCAACGAGAACCCGAGCGGGGACCCGCAACGTTCGGTCAGCCCCTACCGCAGCAGACAGCCAACAATGACATGCGTCGCTTGGAAGCGCTTGTTGCTGTCGCCACTGGCGAGCAAGCCGTGGAGAACCGCTCTTAAATTAGGTCAGCTGATTGCTTCCTCACCGCTTTTACATCACACATCGCCATCATCAATTTACGTCGAGTTTTTCAAAGCACACCCACGATGTCACGACCTCGAAGAACAATAACGAATCTCCTATGATTTACGCAATGATACACATGTCTGGTGTTTTACTCCCAGTTCCGCATGACAATCTCTCGGTCTTTTGCTTTGTTTCCCTTGCCTTCACTTCAGATATCGCCGACCAGGTGAGGGCTCTTGTTGTCGCTTTCCATATGATACCAATCGGAGCTTCTGCTCGAACTTCCTTGGGATACCCCGATCCGGCATATGTCATTTTCCCTTTGTTTTGCTTGCCTTTGTGCATATGACGTTTTTGCTTTCGTTTTAGGGATATACCAAATCGAACAGCGGGAGTCTGGAGTTTTTTGTCAGGATCAATTTCTTTTTCTACATGATGACTCTCTCTATTAGGATGTGCTGTCGTGCTGTTTTTGGCGGGACGGGTCACTGATGATGAACATTGGTAATGGATAGAAGCTGGAAGGGTCAATAGTTGTCCTTGGACATTCTTAACTTGCTTGTATATGCCTTCTCAGATGATTATGCTCGTGTACTTTTGTGTAACCTGCTGCGACAGATGCCTACAGACAGGTGATTATGTTATTATGGCAAGTCGCGAAGAGAACTTTGTTGCTGGATTCAACAACTAGGTCGGGGAGTACTACGTGGTTCGAGCGACGCTCGTACGCCTCCCTGCCAAGGACAGATATTTACAGAGAAGTTTGGCAACCCGAATATCACCCCAAATTATGTTTGGCCTGTCTTCAGCAAGATAGACAGGCATAAGCTGCTCGCCCACCAGTGTCACATAGGCCGGAGGCACCAGATGCTGTTTCGCTGGATTACCGTTACCGCGACGTGGATGCACAAACTCCATCAGAAAGACCTGCTACTCGAATTCCCGTTCTATCCTGACGAGAATCGAAAGTGGGGCCGAGTCGATCTCTCGCCAAAGAAGAAGATTCTGTTCACCCCATACAAAAATGTCAGCATCCGCATTGTCAACAATGAGGATGAGGCTGCCATCGTCCGTATCACGGATCTACTCGACAAGAATGACCAGCCGGAACTGGACGACAGGAGCAATCTGGACCCCCGACAAAGTCAGTCTCACCAGATTCGCGGCGGTCCTTGGACGGAAGAAGAAGTCATTCAAATACCCCACCAACAGCCTCATTACTTTCAAGCACACTTTGACTAGGGATCAATAGATTGCGATCACGAAGGGCAAGCAGCTCGCATACGCGTTGAAACTACTGCGTACGCGGGAAAAGGGCAAGATTGAGATGAGGGTAGACACATTTGCAGAGGAAGAGGGAAAGGAAGAGGAAGATTTGGTTGGATAGGTTGGATAGATTGGATGATGATGGCAGAGAAGTTGAAGGGTAGTAGCAAGGAGGTTGAAGGATAATAGTATATTCCAAGGTTGGCAGGCGTCTCTAGTGGACAAGGAATGGACAAGTGGTGTACTTGAATAGATAGGTTTAGGTGTGGAACAATACAGCCTTCTAATGCCTAGGCGGTTGAGCGCTCTGGTGTTGCAGCTACTATGGATGCTGCGAGGGAAGTGGTTGAGATTGGCGGGACTGAAGTCGCGGCAGAGCTTGCAACTGACGGGACTGAAGCTGCGGCAGAGCTTACAACTGGCAGCGTATGTGAGTCTGATGAATCTGCTGTACAGAATTGGCGGATGCCTGGTTGATTGATCGGTCGTTTTGTGGTGGTATTGTTCAGAGTCTTAGAATTGAGTGCGAGAACGAAGCTGAGAGAAAGACAGAGTGAACGACGGCTGAGATATATATATATATATATATAACGAAGACTGAGGGGAGGGGAGGAATGTGTGTGCGTGAGAAAAAAGGTTGAGAAAGGTTGTGAAGATGGTGCGATGAGGTTTATTAGGGACTTGTATCCGCATGCCAGAATGAGGCAGGAGCGACCCTGGTGCTACTCTCGAACATTTCAAGAGAATCAAGTCTAATTGTAGATCTAGCTGGTTCTGCGATCGATGGCGATAATAAGCGCAGCAACATTGTTAGGAGAAGAAGCCAACGTGGTTGCTTGTCTTGAGGGAGTAGTCTTGTAGAGAAACTCGCGGTCTCAAGGAAGGACTGGCGTTAGATGGGAGGTTCTAGGAGGCGATGATAAGATACGCCTGTGAGTGCTTAGTAACTCAGTTGTGGTTAAGCCGTCTCATACAGTACGTTGTGTCCAACGTGGTGGCGGCGCATTGTTGTCGGGGCAACATACGATCGGGACAGGAGAGGACAAAGCGCGTCCTAGCGTATCATCCCACATGCAAACCCCGCGTACCCTGACTTGGTATACACATCCGCTTGCAGCAACACCGACAGCAGGCACTGTACCTGTAGTTCTGATACCCTCCTTTTCCTTCTTCTTTCTTTGTGATACCCCCAATCGGCGCCATGGGTTCCGACGACGTTACCGACTTCGAGGTGATTGAAGGCCAGAAGGAAAACATCCAGAGTATCCCCAGCGGCCGCTCTGCCAAAGCACTCGCGCAGCTATACACGCCACCATTGACTTCCGGCGCTGGTCAGACGCTGTCCCCTTCGCAGATGCAGGATGCGAACAGCGCGGCCCGCCTCAAGTTCGAGAAGGAGCTCATGGCGATTGACGACTCGGACGACCCGCTAGACGTTTACGACCGTTATGTCAAATGGACACTCGACTCATACCCCTCCGCACAGAACACACCTCAATCGCAACTCTGCCCGCTGCTCGAGCGCGCAACCAAAGCCTTCCAATCCTCGCCGCAGTACAAGAACGACGCCCGCTACCTCAAGCTGTGGCTGCACTACATCCATCTCTTCTCAGATGCGCCGCGCGAGACATTCGCATACCTTGCGCGACACAACATCGGCGAGAACCTTGCGCTATTCTACGAAGAATTCGCAGCCTGGTTAGAAGGCGCGGGTCGCTTCACACAAGCAGAGGAGATATACAATCTAGGCATTGACCGCGAGGCCCGTCCAGTGGAGCGCCTGATTCGCAAGTACGGAGAATTCCAGCATCGCCTCGAGAGCCGCCCGCAAGAGGCTCCCGAGCCTTCAAGCCCCGCACTTCCCGCCGTTCGTCCAGCCCTCGCCGCTAAGATGGACCCCTTCGCGCATCCATCGCCGAGTGCGCCGAGCCCACAACCACAAAGTGCGCCAAAACCTGCTGGAGGCGCTTCTCGCTCGGGGAAGGCTAAGCTTGCCATCTTTTCCGATGGCGACGATGCCGCGAGGCCCGGCTCGACTGGTAGCATGGAAGGATGGGATAGCATTGGATCGCTCGCAGACCGCAAGAAGGAGAACGCAACGGAAGCGCGCCCTTGGGCTGGTGAGACTTTGAAGGTTGGAAAGAAGAACACGGGCGTGCCAAAGATGTCAATCTTCAAGGATGAGGTGAGTTGATCTGCCTACATCAGCCCCTTCATATATTTACGATCACAGGACTAATTGGTGGGCGTTTGCCATACATGTATTCAGACCAAATCAAATCCCAATGACGAAAATGTCAGCCCCCATCCATTGCGTGAACATCAACAAGCGGTCAATCCAAGGACAGGCAGGCTTGAGGTAGTCTTTGTAGATTTGGAGCAGGTTTACCCTAACCATGAAGATCCCATGTCAGAGGAATACTCTTTTGAGGAACTTCGAGCTAAATACAGGGGATGGATGGACCACGATTGGGATGCTATCCGACGCAAGGAACAGAAGCAGGCAAGGAAAGCAGCCGAGGAGGCAGAAGCTGCCGCAAGACCAAAGCCAAAGGCCGCGCCTCTAGCGCCCAAACAGGATTACGAACAGCCTCCTAAGCCCAAGACCGTGCCCCTGAAAGGCAGCGTTGACGACGATATGAACAACGACGAGAATGCGCCGCCTTCACAGGCAGATGTAGACAAGGCACGGGCTGCTAAGAAGGCGAGACGAGAGGAGCGTGCCAACAGGACTAGGAAAATCAAGGTCATGGAAGTCAAAGAAGTTCGCGGAGAGACTCAGACAAGTAAGTGTTTGAGTGTGTATGAGACTGTCACTTACGTACTAACACGTCTTAGTCCAAGCCAACCTGGATTCTCCAGCGAAGCCCAAAATCCGGCGAAAGAAGACAGGCCCGGAGACCACAATGACCCTCCACACCAAGGAAGCTATGGACGAGATCTACGACATATTCAACGAGCCACTGAAAAACGCCGACGAGAATACTTCGGAGAATCAGAGCGGCGATGAAAGCAGCGGTGACGATGAGGACGACTACACGAGTGGTGCCGAAAGTACGGCAACCGGTCGCATATCAGGCGCTACGAGCGAGTTTGGGGATGAGACAACAGCTGGAGATTTCACACTCGGCACTAGGGTGCTGGATGTTGATGCCGAGGATGAAAGCGATTCCGACGCCTCAGATACCAAGAGTGCTTCTGCGTGGTCTGACTTTACTGAGAGCAAGCACGTGCCTAAAGATGGTCAAGAGGATGAATCAGATGATGAGTCTGAGCAATCGGATCAGTCTCAGAACGATTCTTTTAACGAGGTAACACGCGCAGATGTCGACGTGGAACAGCAGCAGGATTCTGACGTCGTCACTCCGACCTCGCCCTCAGCGCCCACATCGCTACCTACCCGCTTCGTTCCAGTTCCACCAGAAGACTACGTTCCAGCTATGCAGCCCTACCGAGACCCAGCCCAGGCTGCTAACAACCGCCTGCCGTTCATGACGCCCATCGTCGAGAAGACGGAATCATCCCTAGGCATCGCTACTGCTTATGCGAACAAGGACTACTTTACTCCTGCGACCAAGACACCATCACGATCGAAAGGTACCACCGATATTCTTGAAGACGACGATGACGATGACGATGATGATACTTGCGGTAGCGCCTTTTCAGATATTTTGAGTCAGGTTATTGATGGCTCAGGGAAAGTTGCGAAGCTCGCCCTGACAGAATCGAAACCAGTACCTAAAGAGCCCATGGCCGAACCGCAACGGAAGCCGTTGGCTGCGAAAGAGGTTGCGCCAAAACCAGTAAAGCCGAATGGTCCAATTATTCAGGATGCACAGTGCAATCCCGTCGACGAGAACATCCGCAAGGTCATCCTACAAGAAATCCAACCACCGCTTGATAGCTACGATGGCTACTACGCAGACATCGAAGAGAGCTACGGAAAGGGAGCCGACATCCGCAAGTACACCAAGGCTCTAAAATCGGGCAAGGGCGCGAACGACAAGACAGCCAACCTTGCAGTCTGCCCGACATTGAAGTTTCCCACCACTCAGCGGACATACGCTGTCAAACGCGAGCTTGGGAAAGGTGCCTTCGCCCCAGTTTACCTGGTTGAGAGCCGAGATCCCGATGAGGACGACGATGAGAACAAACCTTCGCAGATGGGCAAGGGCGAGTTCGGTTTGAAGCGCAAGAATCTGGAAGCTATCAAGATGGAAGATCCACCAACGCCATGGGAATTCTACATCATGCGGCAAGCCAAGCGACGACTGGGTGTATCTAGGGCGGCGGATTCGATTGTTCACGCGTACGAGATGCATGTCTTCAAAGATGAATGCTATCTTGTCGAAGAATTTAGAGATCAGGGAACGCTGCTCGATCTGGTGAACTTATCAAGGGGAGACAACGGTGTCATGGATGAGCAGCTTGCGATGTTCTTTACTGTCGAATTGTTCCGCACAGTCGAGGCGCTTCACTCAAAGGGTGTAGTCCACGGCGACCTCAAAAGCGACAACATCCTCGTCCGCTTTGATGGGTTGCAAAAAGATGAGCATTGGGATTCAGAGTACAAGCGCGATGGGCGTGACGGCTGGTCTGCGAAGGGTGTCTCACTCATCGACTTTGGTCGCGGTATCGACATGAAGGCCTTCAAGCCAGACGTCCAGTTCATCGCAGATTGGCCCACTACCGAAGCCGACTGCGCCGAGATGCGCGAACTTCGCCCGTGGACCTACCAGATCGACTACCACGGTCTCGCTGGAATTGTCCACAACCTCTTATTTGGCAAGTATATCTCTACGATTGCCGAGCGTGGCGCTACTCTTGGTGCTGGAGCGACGAAGACGTACAAAATCAAGGAAAGTTTGAAGAGATATTGGCAGACGGACATCTGGCATGCCTGCCTCGATTTACTATTGAACCCACTCATGCACCTTGAGGGTGAAGAGGGGAACAAATTGCCGGTGTTGAAGGGTATGAAAGAGGTGAGGGAGAAGATGGAAGAGTATCTTGAGAACAACTGTGAGAAGGGCGTTGGATTGAAGACTCTTATCAGGCGCATGGAGGATGCAGTGAAGAAGAGGTGATGGGGCTTGCCTTTGTGCTCATTTGTATGATGTT